CTGTTGTAATATAGCCACCCGCAGGTCTGTCACTGAATGACCAGACAGGTTAAAGTGTTTTCCCACTGGTACTCCTGTTCTTCTTTTTGCGGATACAGACTAACACGGCTGTTACTCTGAAATCAGCCACAGAAGTTGGTCCAATAAAATATATTACTTCATCCACCTTGTCTCTCTAAGTATTAGTTGTGTATCGTGGGTTTATACATGTATTTTATGCCAGAGAATATCTGTTCATGTTGTTGCTAAAGTAAATTTAAATGTAATTATTTTATTACTTCGGCTGAAATATAGAAAGTCAAGCTGGAAACTCTGCCTTCCTGCATTATTTTGTGAATTGTGGATTAGGAGCTGTAATATTTATTGCAACATAGAAAAATTGGTCACAGCTAGGGGGAGCAGTTGGTCTTTGAAATTGATTTCTAGCCTATGGAATTATGTCCAGTTAATCTACTATAAAATGAAAAAAGTTAAAATTGACTATGATCTGCATTTCAGTGGTTATTTAGCCTTTTCTGACTAAGATGAAAGCTAACATTTAACATTAAAATGAATTTCCCATTACTGTTTTTTTGTTTGAGAGAAGAGATAGATCATAGTAAACAATTTAAAAGCTGTGTATCTGTTCAATAAATATTTTTTGTTGTCAACATTTTTCTTAAGATGCGACTGATTAGTCATGAATATTTGTATAAATATTGATGGCAGTCTATGTTTTTTGTTAATGTTCAACTCAGATGTTTTCTTTTTTAGGATTTGTCATTATAGGTCTTTAAGTTTTATTGGCATCTGTACTGGGGCGGGGGGGAGAGTTCAATATTACAGAAAAGATTTTTAGTGGCTGGCTTTTGCTCTTGTTATAATCTGAAGAATGGTTTCTAAACAGTGAGGATTCTAGCTTGTTGCATAGCAACACAATTCTAAACACATAGCAGACATACAAAATGAAATAGAATAGTGCAGTAATAAAAGCCATAAGGCCTCCAATGACAAGTAGCTTTCTACAGTTATATTTTTAAAGATAACAATTATAAAATGAAACATGAATTGAACTCCATTTTGTTGCATATGCTATATACTGTCTCTATTCCTTTTCCTTTGATCTTATAGCACCAGCCTTATCTCTGTTCCCCTGACATGCAGTCTGGTCAGTGATGGTATGAGAACTGTGTTTGCTACCTTGTGTTTGTAAAGCAATGTGTATCTTAACAGCACCTGCATCATGATAAGTGTCATATAAAAAGTCCCCAAACCCTATAAATAAATAAAAATTTAAAATAAACACCATGTGTGAAATCCTAGCTCCATTGAACTTAGTGGCAAAACTTCCTTTGACTTCAGTAGGGCAAGGATTTCACCCCATATATTTTCAGATCACATTTGTAAACTTTTTTTCCCTTTGCCTCCAACTCTCTGTTCTCCTTCTGCTTTCATTTTAAAAAAATTTGAACTACTGTTTAATTCTATAAAACGTTGGCGAACAATTTATGTGAAAGACACTATTTAGAATAAAGCTTATATTCTGCAAAGAGAGCCATACAGATGGAACTCCACTAAAGTAGTGTAGCTCTGTGAAAGCACAAGGCTCTGCCTCTTTTCAGGATCAAGGTCCAAGGTGGTTCTGTATTTATTTTACACAAAAGAGTCTAATTTTAAAAAAATATATAAATTTAATGTCTGGTCAAGCTTTTTAAATGAGAAAAATACTCTTCATTGTTTTCCTGCCAGTTATTCTTTCCGTCATTCGTATAGGCATCTCTATGGAAAGTGAGAATATTACAAGTCTTGAAGAGCACTTTTGTAGATACTAGTATAATAGAATTGTGTGCTAGGCAGAGGTGCTTCCACAGTTATCAAAGTGGATCTGATTCAAGCCTTTTCTGGTTAATGTACTATGTTCAAATTTTTTCCATGCAACTCTTCTTCAGATTCAGATGTAGGTAATTCCTGATGATAAAGATCTCTGTTCCTAGTTTATTATTAATGTCTTTCTTTTTTTTTCTTAATTTTTTTTTTAATTGTACTTGTCTGTCACTTTAGAGTCAAGGTGGGTGAGGTGATATTTTTTATTGGACCATCTTATGTTGGTGAGAGGGACCAAGCTTTTTGAGCCACAGAGAGGAGTTCTTCAGATGTGGCTTGAAAGTTCCTCTTTCTCACCAACAGAAGTTGGTCCAATAAAAGATATTACCTCACCTACCCTGTCTTGCTAATATCCTGGGACAGAGATGGCTACAGCTACACTACATACTTTATATCACAGACAGAAATATGTTTGTATCCGTAGTTCTCACTGACAGAATTAAGGTGCATATTCCTTCCCCCACCATGTCTTCTGCCTTTTCCTGCAGTGGAGAAGAATTATGCTAATACAAGACTCACCATGTTCATTTTTGGGTTCTGTGAAACTGAAACTCATTCCAAAGCTTTCCTTTTTGAAAGGAATCTCAAAGGGAGCCCTATTCTCTTGTAGCAAATGTTAACATACAGTATTCTTCTGATTGTATTGCTAGATTGTTTTTTGTAATCATTTTGGCACTTGAGTGTTCCAACATACTTTTCACTAGTTTCTAAAGTTGGCCTTAAACGCAAAGGACAAGGAAACTTGAAGTAGAGTGCATCCTTTAATGCAGGGGTGGCCAACCTGAGCCTGAGAAGGAGCCAGAATTTACCAATGTACATTGCCGAAGAGACACAGTAATATGTAATGATTATATAATATGCGTGCACACACAATCATTATATAAGTTATAATGTATATTTATTATACATTTATAATGTATAGTGTGACAGACCCAGACCAGTGGGGTACAGGAGTCTGGTAGAGGGCAAATATACTGGTC